GGAATTAAGTATCATGGGGAGTTGACATAATGAGGAAAAAAAAATGTCCAGGGCTTTGATTGACTTCTGGTTTAGCTCCTTAGCTATGTAGATGGCTTTTGAGCTCTCTTTTATCAGGCATGTGTAATGATCAGAGGCAGAAATAACGGTGGAGGAAGGTTGCAGTCTGGGAAGGATTATAATAAACATTATAAATATGAATAAATATTATAAATATTAATAAAAATATTATTAATTTTAAGGCTTGACTGTTTCCCCTATCACCCATTTCCAAAGGAAATTTTGTTGGACTTTGATTTTAGCTTTCACAGCTGTGCTTGTTTAAGAAATTGCCATCCTTGCATTGTAATATTTAGGATGACTCCAGTTGAATGCAGTATTGCTTTAAAGTCACAGTCTGTACTTTTTTTTAATATAGTGGAAGATCTGGAACTTCTTGTATAGGAACTTCTGTCATTTAGCATAGATTAATATAATCAACTTCCTGAAAAGGCAAAGAGCCCCATTTATTGTTAGTCTCTTTCACGTGGAATACTGCCTATAAACCAGTTGTTCAGGTGTGAAAATGGCCAGGGAGTTTCTGTGTGTAGCTGGCTTGGTGTTCTTGGTGTTCTCATGTTCACACCGTCCGTTAGCCTGTGCTTTAGGGCCGGCCATTTCAATACGGCTGCGGGAGGGATGAATGTCACTGGCTTATCGAGTCTGGCACACAGTAGGCGAAAACTAATTTCAGGTTTGGTGGTACTCTGGGGATGCGAGTGTGGTTATAGTCAAAGCTGCTTTGCTAAACTAGTGTCTCTTTATGCCCAATTTCCCTTTCTTCTGTGTGCATCCCAGCAGTCAGAACTGCTTATGTTATTGATGACAACAAAATGTTGTTTGTGAACAAAATGACTGAGGGAACGTTTGAGAGAACAAGCTGAATTCTGTATGCAGAGCTGTGTGGAATAAAGAAGCTGTGAGGATCTTGTAGATGCATTTTGGTGATGTAATCAAAGCAAAGCCAGTGGTTCAGGGCTCTGTTTCCCAACTAGCTTTGTAGCTGTGATGGTTAAAAAGCAGGAACTCTTCATGATGTGTTTTGAATGGGTTGGAGCTGGAATTGAATTAATGACCTTTTAATATTTACTAAAATATTGGAAGTCTTGTACCTATTAAAATGTGATCTGCACATTAATTTTCCTCTCATGAAGATTAGCTATTATCAGTGTTTATTTTAAAAATGAAATTTGAGGTTGTGCAGATGTATGCTGGCTCATGAAAAGAAGGAAAAAAACACCCGTAGGTAAAATAGCTTTCTTTCACCTTTGTGGGAATTTAAACTGCTCTGATTAGAGCTAAGCCTAACAAGGGCTGTGCTTATTACAAACAAATGCATGTCATATTAGTCATCGATATCTGGGAACCTTACGTACTTAATATTTATAATGAACTCTGCTTATGTAGTCTCTGCTAGCGAGAGTCTTAATCTTCTTGTTTGTTCAAAAGGATTATATTCTTTTTGCCAGATTAATAGACTAGTGTATTTAAAATAAACCTGATTTTTTTTTCCTTAACAACAACGTATAGTTGGATTTTAATTCTGTCTTCTGCTTGCTTTGTACGCAGTATACAGCAGGTGTTTGGGTGTTGGGATTGTGCTCTGCTTGAGCAGTTGTTAGGCCTCAACACAACCTACGAGGCACAGGAAGCAGAGTGATGATGGCCGAGACCTGAATGCTTTGCCGCTGGTGGATGGGTGACACGATGAACAGTAACCCGCAGCCTGGCAGAGTGTTTTGGAGGAGAGAGGAAATCAGCAGAGTCTGAAGGGGCAGCACCGTGATTCAGGATGTAAACGGGATGCTGAATGGCTTGCTTGTGTACTTAGAGCCATCTGATGATGATTGTTGCTGGCTTTGGCTCAGGTCACTTCCAAGTTAAAGGCCGTACATCCTTCCACTACCAGTGTGGCCCTACAGGCTATTTAGGTGTGACGTCATTGATTCTGGTGAGATGTGTTTAGGGAGTATTTGGACTTTTAGGTCTGATTTGGAACTTTCTTTTCTGTCAAGACTTATGCATTTTAACAGGCAATGCTATCTGGTCGTCTGTTCCCAAATTTAGGAACTTTCCCAAGATCCCATTTAGTCCACGATCATGAAGGTATCTTCTTGCTCAATTCCTGTAGAAAATAAGTTTGTGGATTTTGTCTGCGTGTAGGTCTCTAGTCTTTGTGTCTCTTTTTCCTGAAAGTAAAAATGCTCGTTCAGTGGGCTTATTGAGCCTGGAGCAGAAAAGCCTCTGGGGACACCTTATAGCACCTTCCAGTACCTGAAGGAGCTACAAGGAAGCTGGGGGGACCTGTAGTGACAGGACAAGGGGTAACGAGTTTAAATTGAAAGTGGGCAGGTTTAGATTGGATATTAGGAAGAAGTTCTTCCCAGAGAGGGTGGGGAGGCACTGGAACAGGTTGCCCAGAGAAGCTGTGGATGCCCCATCCCTGGGAGTGTCCAAGGCCAGGCTGGATGAGGCTTGGAGCAACCTGGTCTAGTGGAAGGTGTCCCTGCCCATGGCAGGGGGGTTGGAACTGGATGGGCTTTAAGGTCCCTTCCAACCCAAACCAGTCTGTGCTTCTGAGTATTAACAAGAAGCACTTGGAGACTGTAAGGTAGCAAGAACATTATTTACTGAGTTGGGATCTGGTTACCTTCCTTGTGTTACTTCTGCATTCTCAAAAATGTTCTTATGAGCTCTGCTAGAGCAGCCTGGTAAAGAAGAGCCTGGTGTTTGCTGCCACATTGCAGCAGGGGCAGGCAACCAGCTGAAGTAGTGCAGGACCCTCTAGGTTTTCTTCCTGCAAGAGGTGAAGTTAATGACCTGAGAGCCGTTTGCATGGTTTATGTACAAAGCTGGGAACTTTAAAATGCCAGAGGATGGGAGGTGGCTAGAACCTGGAGAGACAGCTGTGTTTTCTGAGCTGCAGATTCATGAGAAGGTAACTCCCTTTGAAACAGTTGAAGCTTCAGGGTTTTTTTCAAGCTGTGCTAGCTTGTGTGGTGGACGCTCTTGCTTCTTTCTGACTGGGCTCTGGGCTTTGCTGTATGGTACAGCCCACTCCAAGCCAGCAGATCACTGTGCAAGATGGGTGACCTTCAGCCTGATCTTGGAACAGCCCCTGGAATGAGTGTTGAAAAACTGTTTGTCTGGAAAATAAAGCTAACAAAATCCTAGAGTGAAAACTCTTAAAATATTTCTTATATATCTCTTCTCAAACCTAAAAAATGGTTTAGGCTGTTTGCCAGTGAAGGCAGAGCACTGTGAGGAACTCATTTAAGCTATCCCGGGTGGGGAGTGATGGCACCTTGCCAGGGTCCACTGGCTGCCTGTTTCTGCCTCCGTTTTATTTTGACTGTTCAGCTGTGCTGGCACAATTGTCCATCTGTCTGCGCTGACAGCCACATGAAATGCTGAGGAGGGGAGTCTGGAGTGTTTCGGCAATCTACCCTTGCAGCTTGGGAGCTCTCACAGCAGAGTAACAGGGCTACAGCAGGAGTTTGGGAATGTGCTAACAGAGGTGGGGAGGTATGCGAGCTGGAGCAGTGAGCTGCCAAAGCTGTATCCTGAACTAATTGCCTGAGCAGCGAAAAAGCTGAAATACTAAAAGATGAGCATGATCTGTGGCCCTGGGAGGAGTACTGGTGAGCTCATTCTGGACGTGTATAATGAGAAGAGTCTTCTGTAATTTGTTATGGAAGGATCAGGAATGTTTTCTGACCATGTTTGCTTTTCTAGAGGAAAAACAGATTGTATGCATCAGGAAGATCAGCAAATCTGTACTTTGAACCAAAGTAGGAAACATTTCCAGGACTGAGGAAACCTTATTGAGGCTGCCTTTCTTCCTTCTGCTCAAGCCAGGATACTGTTATCTTGAATGCCAGAGTCATGCATGATACAATACAGGATTTGCTGAGGCTAAGGGAGGATGGCTTAATTGCTTTTAGCCTTGTTTCCCTTCAGTTATCTCTTGCTCTAGTCAGTCATACAGGGATTTAGGAGAATGTGTGTAGTTGCATTCGTGGCACGGTTAAAGAACCTAATACGACAAATCTTGGAGTGGTTGATGAGAAGGTCTCATGGGCAGCCCAGCCTAGTGTGGCTTAGGAATGGCAGAGAGGTGTGTGCCTTTGGATAGGTGGAGAGCTTCAGCCCGAAAGGAAGGGGAAGCTCCTGCTACAAGATGTACCTTTTATGTTCACAATGCCTTTCAGTAAAACTGGGATTTGTGTGCTAAAGATCTCTCTGCACGAACCTTTTCCTGTTAACATGGCAACATCTCACGTGGAGGCAGAGATTTTTAGATCATGGTTTACTTCTCATGCAATCTACTAGAATTCATTTTGCTGGATGAAGTTCTGCTTTGCTTCGTATCTTGTTTGTAGTATCAAATGTCTCCTATTTCCCCCCTTCTGTGCTGAACATATTTAAGAGTTAAATTACTGAAATAAAACACACTGTATGACCCCACAGGGACTGTAAATAATGTTTACTTATTGTGTTGGGGGCTTTTTCTTAAACAGAAAAAGAGTAGGCTTCTACTGTACTCAGGCTTTTGTCAGACAGGTAGTCTGTTGCCATGTTATTGACTGTAGTCTTTCTCTAAAACGTAGGTTGCAGCCTTCCTCTGCAAAAGGTCGAGTATGCAAGGGGCACCTAGTTAACCCTGCTGGTGGCTTGGGGCCTCCAAAGTAATGTTTAGCTGTTGACAGTTGCTGTAGCAATTTCTCATTTCCATCTCTGAGGAACTGAGCAGCTGCTAGCAACAAAAAGGCTTGGGGCTGTTTTGGGACTGGGGGAGCAAACTCTGAGTAGTAAAGTCTGAGGTGTTGTCAGCATAACTTTCTCATGTTTATCTAGCTGTGCAACTCCTGAGTTCTGCTTGTAAGGCAGCATAGCAGCCAGGGAGCACCACTGCACTATGTAAATGCTGCTGTGAAGGATTAATTTAAAAAATAACGTCTTTTCTTTCAGTTGTGTTGATTGGAGACTCTGGAGTTGGGAAGAGTAATCTTCTGTCACGTTTCACACGCAATGAGTTCAATCTGGAGAGTAAGAGCACCATTGGGGTGGAATTTGCCACCAGGAGCATCCAGGTGGATGGGAAAACGATAAAAGCACAGATCTGGGATACTGCAGGACAAGAACGATACCGTGCCATTACCTCAGCGTGAGTATTATGTCTTTGCTCAGGTTAACAGCAGAATTCTCAGAGGGAATTTATGGGGAGAGAATTAATGAAGCCTCTTTCGGACATATGACAAAAGCATTATGACAGACTAAAGTGCGGATCCATGTCATAAGATAGCATATACGTTTGTGTTCCTCGATTAATATAATGAAAGTGATTTTTAGCTTCTAATGATACTACAGAAATAACAACAGCCTAAATCAAGTGTGGTAAATTCTGTTTGCGTTTTGTAGTTTGGGTTTTTTACTGGCCCTGGATGTGTTACCTTCATGTAGAATGAGTGTCAAAGAATCTCTGAATCGCAGAATGGTTTGGGTTGGAAGGGACCTTAAAGATCATCCAGTTCCGACCCCCCTGCCATGGGCAGGGACACCTTCCACTAGACCAGGTTGCTCAAAGCCACATCCAGCCTGGCCTTAGACACTTCCAGGGATGGGGCATCCCCAGCTTCTCTGGGCAACCTGTCCCAGTGCCTCCCCCCCCTCTCCATGAAGAATTTCTTCCTGATATTCAATCTAAACCTACCCACTTTCAATTTAAACCCATTACCCCGTGTCCTGTCACTCCAGGCCCTTGTAAAAAGGCCCCCCCAGCTTCCTTGTAGGCCCATTAGGTAATTTCTGATGAAGCTGGATACTGTTTGGCATGAAGTTTGGGTCTAGGCGTGGTAGCTTACCGTAATGCCAGTGGCTTCTGGTCTTCACTGCCCCCTCAGTCTTGAGATTGAGGGTATTTTTAGAACAAGTCTGTGGCCACAAACTCCATTGAAATCTTAATGACTTTGAATTGGACACAGCCCTAAAATTTAGGTCCAGGAGTGCATGCTGAATAACCAGTAAATAGGAAGGCAACTGTGATAATGCTGACTCAGCAGCATTAGGCACATCCCTATTAGAGCAGTGGTATGGAATAGCTTTTATGTATGGCATCTTGTTAATTCATACAGTGTTTTAAGGTGTAACCTCTGGGTTTATCTGTTTCTGTGCAGATAGCAGGCAGCAGTGTATTTTAGAGGAAAAAACCCACCCCAACCCTATTGGCAGACCTACTTATTCAGGGCATATTCTGATCAGCAAGCTGATTTTTCTTTTTTAGTGTTACAGATGTGTATCAGTTTTTAAAGGTGCAAACGTGTTTGACTCATGCACAGATTGAGTCAAAGTATTAAACTCAAAGGTAAGGGGAAGTTTTCTCATTGAGGTGAAATCAGTAATGCAGAATAGATGGAAGAAAAATGGAAGAGTATGAAGCCCAAAGGAAATAATTTGTAGGGAAGGAATGCAAAAACCAAGTAGTGCAGAAGCAGATGTAAGTGGCGATTTCAAATTGCATCTTTTCTCTAATTGTTAGCGTGATTTTTCAGACTTTTTTGTGACCCTTAAATTGTTCTTACTACTGCAAAAGCTTAGCAGAAAAAGTGCTGGCTGAGTCTGGTTCAACAGCAGACTTGACTGATGAGAATCAAGTGCATCTGTAGTCCTGTGATCCTGCCTCGCCTTTGTACTGGCATGAGCTCTTGCTTGACACACTGCTAGGCCAGTTCAGCTTGCTAAGCCAGCAGAATGCCAGCCAGCAGTAAAAAGTGAATGTTTTCTGCTGACTTGGTGCTCTGAATCAGTTCAACGATGTGTCGGACAGGTGCTGGCAAGCAGAGTAGAAATGGTAGGGTTGTGTGGAAGAGGAATACGGACATTCTGGGATTGCTGATACAGATTGGCCTGTGTTGTCCCGAGCCCTTGGCTTGAGTTGAAATGGGCCCAGACCTGCACTGACAGAGCGAACTCTGTTCTTGGATTATGGGTGTGTGGGTAAGAGTTCCCCTCTTCAGTTTTTAAGAGGGACAGGAGGTATTTGAAAGATTAGCAACAAATATTGGTATTGTACTAAGGAGTATTGTCCTAGTAGAAAGAGAAGTTTAACTGCACAAAACCCTAGCAGTACAGATTTTGAAATGCACGGTGGGTTTTCTTGCATGCTGTTCTAGCACACGAAAAATGTCGTGCCTTCTGCACTCTCTTCAGCATTGTTACATTGGAATTTTTTAGGAAGGCCTTTAAAATCCCCAGCATTTGGAACTTGGTTTTAGAAAAACTTGGAACTTGGCTTTAAAAAAACCCAACAACATTATTTGCATCAGCACAACTTTTTCCACAATGGGGGGAGTGTTTTTAACTTTTTAGCAGGAACTAGTTTGAAGAGCTAGATAACTGGCTGTGTTGGTGTAACTCGGACAGAGCTCTCTGCAAACGAATATGCCTTATGATTTCAGGTACTACCGCGGTGCTGTTGGGGCTCTTCTTGTTTATGATATTGCCAAACACCTCACCTATGAGAATGTGGAGCGCTGGCTAAAGGAGCTTAGAGATCATGCAGACAACAATATTGTCATCATGCTTGTGGGTAACAAGAGTGACCTGCGCCATCTGAGAGCTGTGCCCACTGATGAGGCCCGGGCTTTTGCAGGTTTGTAGACAGTATCTTCTAGGTTGGTGCTTTCTGAACTTGATGTTGGTACAAGCTGTTGTTGTAGGGGACTGAACTTTCACCTCAAGTTTTATTTTTGACCCTAAAAAAAAAAAGGCATTTAAGGTTTTTAAGTGAAGATATCTTGGCTTATTAAGTAGTGGGTGTGGTTGATGTGGGGTTTATTTAATCTAGTGGTGGTACATGTTTTTGAAATGCTGGCCTTGAGCTGCCCGATAGCTGAAGATTAAAGTCTTCCTCTAGCAAGGCTAGAAACAGCAAGCAACGCTTAGAAGAGAAAATGTCACAATATAAATATAAAATATAACAACACAAAATGTCTTTCCTTCCTTCTTAGAAGTCTGGTTGTACTGAGTACCTACAGGCAGCTGCAAATGAATTCTAGATGGTGTAGATTCTGCGCCATAGAACTGATAGTGTGTCATCTAGTTTCATTTAAATGAAGTGATTCAGACATGACATTACCAGTTGTTGGGAGTTTATCAAGTAGGTTATGTGAGCTGCTGCCACTGCATTACTTCTTTCTTCTTTATCTGTTAGAGCACTGGTCAAATACTCTTTTGCCCTTGTGGCCTAGAAACATTCAGCTTGCTTTTGTGTGGATATCAATCTTGGAGGTGGAATTTAAATGTATTGCCTTTAAAGTCCTTTTAGGAATACTACTAGACCTTGCTTAAACATGTTTTCTGAAGTTTGCCAGTAAGCAAGTGCCCTGTGGTCAGTAAAAACCAATTTAAACTTTCAGACGAATGAGAAGTGAAATCTATGTAAGAGAAGCAAAACAAGTTAGTAGGCACCCTAGGTAGTGCATTACTTTGGTTACTTGGTTCAGCTCTTATTTTTTTGTCTCTGACTTGCCTTTAAGGCTGTTTTAAATAGCTAGTGATTGTACAGGTGTTGCTGTTCAAGCAGTACGACTGAAATTTGCTTGTGGCTGGGCAAGTGGTACAGTACCACTCTAGGTGTGGTGTTTGGGTGTTAATCACAATCTTTCAATTAAAAAAATATACTTTGCATTGTAAGAGGAAAGAAGAAAACAGATTGTATTACTAGGTATTTTATTGTAATTTGGAATTGGGGTCTGATTAGGAAAGTGTAAGTCTCTTTTCTTGGGGTTGCAGAAGAGAATTGTGACTTCTGTTGCAGCCAACTTGCTTTTTACCTGTGCTCTTGCTCAGAGTGCTTCCAGGAGTGATCTGTAGGCAGATGAGAATAATATTGAGCAAGGCTGGGGAAATGTTTTGCTTGACTGAACGAGGCCTGCAGTGAAGAAAACATTCTCACACTAGGGAAGGGCAGTGGTCAAAGGTGATGCTGCTGAAATGCCAGCAGCTAAATAAATGGTACTCCAAGTTGTTCCTAGAGTCAGAGGAAAAAAAAAACCTGTGCCCCAGCTGATTTGGCCTAAAAATAAACCTAAAAGTAAATGTGAAATATAGTACTCAGAGTTTTTAATTGAACAACTTCTTATTTATTACAGAAAAAAATAACTTATCTTTTATTGAAACTTCTGCTCTGGATTCAACAAATGTAGAAGAAGCCTTCAAGAACATCCTTACAGGTATGGTTTGTTAGGGATTCAGAGGACCTCCTGAAGTAGTGGATCCTCATAGGCACGTTTTGCGGTTATCTACAATGTTTTGGAAATGAATGTTGGGAACGATGGTTTGTTTGCAAGCCTTCTAATCTTACCTGTGTTCTGCCTCCCACCTCACGCGTACCCTTCAGCCCAAGAATCTGGAAGTTTCTAGTCTCCCGATGTTCCATGAATTCAAGGTATTGCAATAGCACTGTTATGAGGGCACTAGGAGTTCTGTGCCTGCACAAAGTCTGGGCAGTGAAGCCATAGCCATGCTAGGAAGTTAAGTGTTCCAGTGTGTGCTCTTGTACTAAAGCAGGCTGCTAGGTAATGTTTTTGTTTGTCTAGACTACTGAACTCCTGTTCTCAGCCAGTGGCAAGGGTTGTAGGTGACTGTGCACCAACAGCATAGCTGCATGCAAGCTGCTGTCTGGGAATGTCCCTGACGAGTTTCAGAAATGGTCTAAGAAGGTGATAGTGGTCACAGGCCAAAATGAGGCCAGGGCTTATGATTTCCACTGTTCAAGAATGCTCCTCAGCATGTGTAACAGCTGTAGATGTGGCTGAGCACACATTGTCCAGTTGCAGCATCAGACTTCCTGTATGTGTGGGAATGCTACTTGGCTTATGCTGTAGGTCCACTGCATATAGTATCAGAGGTATTTCAGATAGTAGCAGTCTACTACTGGCTTTTTTCCTCTCTGACTGGGGCTTAGAATCTCCATTCCTTAAGATGGAGCTCTTGCCTGCATGTATTTTCTTGACCCTGGAGTAAGGGAGCACATGAGGTCTAGGATTCACCAGTAAAGCTTTATTACTGTAGGTACACCAGTGAGTCCTTCCTACCGTGTTAAGCCATGGCCAAAGCAGTTTTGTTAGTAGGCTCACTGGGATTTCCAGCTGGTGTTCTGCAAATTTGAGCTGGGTGCTCATGTGGCCTCTGGAAGTGTGCAGCTCTGTTCTAGGCGAAATGCAGCACATGGGGAACTTTGATTTCCTTCCAAGTGAGGTTGGCCAAGAAGTGAGAGTTGTATGGTCAGTGAGGAAGGAGAAGGAGAAAGGACAGGATTGAAGTGGTGAGGATATGTGCTAGGAGATATGTAGCCTACAGACAGTAGAAGTGGGAAGTGCACAGAGGAAGAGAGACCTAAAGTAAGCGTAGCTCATCTGTGGTGTTAACTTCAGTCAGGGTGGGTAACTCTTCCTGAACTTGGGGTTTGGCCTAATCTTACTCTTAAGTTTAGTTAGACTTCAGTTTGTATGAATGTGTCAGCACTGTATGCTTTAGCACAGTGTTCCGGAGGTGGTACTAATCTGGCTTCAGTCTGAGGTGACTGCATTTGGGTAGCTCTCTGCCTGAGCTAATCCTTGGAAGCAGAGTCCTGGGAAACATGATGCTGTCACACCCAAGAGTGTCTGAAGGAAACAAGCATGGGCCTGCAGGACTGCTGAACTGGAGCTAACAAACCTCGATAAACTTGAGCATCTCTGCTTTCAGTGACTGTGCCTTCCACTCTGTTCTACGGTAGATGTATCTCAAAATATTGTTTGAGGTGACAGGGAAGTTGGTGTTTCAAAGCATTGTCTTCAACTCCTAAAATGAAGTTGTTAGTAGTTGGTAAAGAACACTTAAAAATCCTATCTAAATAGGAAGAGGGCTATCAACCAGGTGTTGGATTACTATTCTACCTCTGACTACCCTATGAGATCTGAATCTTGTCCTAAAGCAGGCAAAAGACCATATAATTTGTCAGTGTGTTTGTTCGGTCTCTTGAAAATTCCTTTAAGATCCATACTGTGAACATGAAGTGTTAGCAAGATCCAGTTTCTGACTGTTGCTTACCATAGCTGAATTCTGGACCAATAAACTCTCTATAGTCTCACTTCTGTACACTGTTTGTGAAGATGTGCCTGATTTACGTGTCCCACAACATCCCAAGATGATCATTTTCTGAGCTTTATTGTGAGCAGATCCTGACTTCAGTTAAATGAGAATAAACCTTAGTTCTGGTTCTACTTGATTATCAGGGTCTGGTGCATGTTGCTTATTGCATGCTGACCAAAGAATTGGTTTTGTATGATTGTTTCTTGACTGTGTATGAATGAGGGCCTTTTGCTAGGGGGAAAAAAAAAAATAGTTTTGATATGGTGAAATCTGCAAGGCTTTTCTAGGTTTCTCTTGCAGAGGTGTGCAAGGAAGCAGTAAGAAGTGTTGGGATCACTAGGTCTGGTGTTGTCCAACTCCGTACCAGAAATGTGTTACAGTTAGGGGAAGATGACCCAAGAAGAGACAGGCAGGAGGAAAAGGGACAGAAAAAACGCTGCTCCTAGAAGCAAAAAGCCTGACAGACTAGGAATGGGTTATAATTGCTCCCCGGCAAGATTTGCCTTGAGTTACTAGAGCTGCTGGTGAAGCAAATGGAGAATATTGCTGTGGAGAAGACTGCCTGGTGCCTGAGCTGGGGCTCTCTTGTGCAGGGAAGCCTTATAGCAGATTCACTGCACATCTGTGACACTCGGCTGGATCTGAGGCAACTTGCCTGGTGCTTTGAGATGGTATCCATGGTTTTAGCGCTCTGAGCGTAATTCAGCAGTTGCCATCCATCCTGTCTTCCCTTGCCATGTTGTTGTGAGACTGACTCGAGATAGAGACCATGGCCTAAGGTTGCTCTAGGAGAGAGCCCCTCTACGGTCTGCTGTAACAGATTAGACACTTGGGGAGCCAGAACTCGAGCTGAGGTCAGAGCTGGGCAAGCTGATCTCAAAACGCTATCTCTTAGCAGCATCCTGGGCTCCCAAAAGTGTTGAGGTTGTCCGGTTCAGGTGTAGTGGGGATGTGGCTAGTATGACTGAGTCCTGAAAATGCTATTCCTAAAGTGATTACCTGGGGGAGAATCAACCTTCTAAAGGAGGAAAAGAATCCTGGGAAAATGTGCTGTGTAGAGCAGGGAGATGGGAGCAACTGTGGAACACTTGGAGGAGGGAAGAGGGTGGAAACAGCAGGACAGGGGTTTCCTTAACTGGCCACCAGTTTGAGGGATCACTAAAGACTGGAGAGGGAAAAAACCCAAACCAAACAGAACCAAAAAACTCTCCACCCCAAAACCCACAAACCAGATGCCTTACCTCAAAGTAAAGAGGGCTTGGCAGTGACTGAACAGCTAGAATTAAAATACACCCCTGAGCACACAAGAAGGGGGGGATGTGACAATCTCAGTACAGCTCTCCTTGTCCCTTTCAGCAAAAATAGCTTAAGGTAGCCAATGGCAAGAGATCAGTCTTAGGTTAAAGGTTTCCATTTTAAGCAATATAAATATGTCCAGCTTCTTTAAAGCAAACAAACAAAAACCCACAAACAACACCCCACCCCCCAAAAAAACCCCCCACAGAAATCATGGGGACTGGGTTTTGTTTAATCCTTACTGAAGGCTTTGGGTGTTGCTGCTTTGAGCCTATGGCTGTGTGAATGTGACCGTAATATTTACTGCAGACTTCCAGGGAGGTACTTGCCCTTTTCCTGTCTCACAATGGAGGGAAGTTGGAACAAGAGCTTATAGCCAGTGAAACAAGTAATTTGAGTTGAAAGGGTTTTTAAATTATTTCTACTAACTCTGCAGTTGAAATGGTTTGTTTCTGAAAGCTTTTAACCTGGCAGTCTCTATTCAGTGGTTACAGCTTTGTAGATCTGTTTTTAGCCATAATTTGAGTCTAATTAATTCTCTCAGGAAAAGCATTTTCAGATCAATATGGGCCTTTGTGGAACCATGTGGCTTTTTATTGTCACAGGTGGGAAAATGGATTTGTTACAGAGAAGAGGAGGCATTTCTGTGTTTGATAGTAGCAACTTGCCAGAAGCTAAAGTGTGAAATACTGTCACTCGCTGCTGCTGCACAGTGATGTTTTGCAAGCTTCCTGTTGATTGGTGTTTCTAGATTATATTGCCCATTTTTTTTAAAAATCAGAAAGATGATTCCCTATTTTAGGAATAAGCGCTCCTGCTCTTTTTCTCGTTTAAGAAGCTTTTTAATAATACCCTTCACGGGGTCATGGAAAAAGAACGTGATAGGAAGTACTGTTGTGGAAGACAGTAAGGAATCTTGTCTTAATAACTTTTCCAGACAGAGCTGGCGTGTCCATTACAGAGCTGGAATCCTGCCAGATGTTACATGCCACAGCTGGTCAGACTAACTTCCCTGTCACAGCTCAAGTTAAAATCTGGATTCTTTGGATCTAGCAACTTCTTTGACAGCTTGCTCTGACATGTGCATGTACTCCGTTAGAGGCAAAGCCTTTCTGGGCTCTAACAAGTCTGTTCTCATTGCAGAGATCTACCGCATTGTTTCGCAGAAGCAGATTGCAGATCGGTCTGCACATGACGAGTCACCTGGCAACAATGTAGTTGACATCAGTGTCCCACCAACCACCGATGGACAGAAATCCAACAAACTCCAGTGCTGTCAGAACCTGTGACCTCCTGTAGATGACTCTTGTGCCCTTCGTCTGTGCTTCATTTAGAAACTTGTGTGCACTTCCTATCTCCTGTGGTTCAGTGACCCCCCTCTTCCCTCCTTTACCCCATTCCCAAGTCCCCTCTTTCATCTTAGAGCTTTAATTGTAGGGCTAACATTCCCCTGCTTCTGAAATCCCCTTCAATGTGGTGACTTTTGGGCTTGAAATGTAGGCACTGATCTGATAGACATGTCTGTGTTGGAACATCTGCTGCTGGGTAATATCCTGTGAAACACTCTCCTCAAATGGTTTTGGTTTTTGTTTTTTTCCTGGCAGAGAAACCATGGAGACTTGACTGTAACAGTTGAAGAAATAACTACATTTAGGTGACAAGGTATTTTCCTCCCATAGTCAGATTTTTTTTGTGTGTGTTTCTGTAAACATGGGAGAGAAATTAAAAGAAAATAGCCACCCTATCACATGCTCTGTTTTCTGTCCTGATAAAGTCTCACAGTGAGATTTTTAGTGGCTGCACACACATAAGAAAGCTGTTGAAAGTAACATTACTTATTATGTAATTATCCCTAATACAGTTAGTCTGGCTGTGTAGTTTACTCTTTCCTGCTTGGGAAATCTTTCTCTATTCTTGTTTTATTTGGGAACAATGAAGTATGTCTGCATTACTTTCTCTGCCACCATGGATGCCTGTGCTGCTTGTGCAGGCTTTGTTAAGTGGCTTACTATTTATTCATGGCTTATGTTAATCAGTTAACATTATTGTACAGTAAGTGCTAGCATATTGGAAACCTTTTGCAACCTGTACAAATAGGCTTATTTTGTACTGTAGATCAGTGTCTGAAAGCAGGGTCTTCTATAGTTCCAGGATTTTTTTGCATGCTGCTTTTTCTCTAGATCTTTCCTACCCCTGTTTGAGTGAGTGAAGCAATATTTTCATGTCATGTATATACCTGCACTTGTAAGGATTTTGGTTGTTGTAGAAAAACACAATACTTTATACATTTTGTAAAACTTTGCAGAACCATAGCATCTTGAACTTCATGATCTTTCACTATTGACCTTGTGCATAATCTCCTTGACCTCTACTAAAATGCATAATGTTAAGATTTCACATAACTGCTACTAACCTGTTGCTTTCCTCTTACTCAGTTATACTGAATTGCAGACTGTAATCTCAAATGACTGTACTTCATCTGATGTAATAGATTTGTCATCAGCAGGGCTGTCTGCTTTAATACTTCGTTTTGCTGAATGGGAAGAATGTTATGACAATTTCATGTAGTCAGTCTCTTGCTAGCTTGTGAAAATCTTCCTCAATGGCTTTTCATCCTTAGCTAGCTCTTACACACTTGCGTCCCCTCTGGTGACTGAATGTTATGATGAGGCAAATAGTGGGTGAAACTGTCTAAAGGAAGAGTTGAAGACCACCTGCTGCTGTCTGAAGGCTAGTGAAGTAATTTGCAGTAATTTTTTGCTCTGTATTCTGGGACTGTACCTCACTTGATGAAGCCTACCTGCGTATTAGTGAGTTGTTGGGTTTTTTGCTGATACAAAGCAAATATGAAACTCTGAATTGTGCTTGAAGGGGAAATCTGACATTCCAGTCTCAAATGTTCTGTCTGGTTATGTAATAAAATTAAGGGTAGTTAACTCTGATGGCTTTTCTTTTATAAGATTTCCAGACCAATGCCTTTAATTTTGTACTGTATGCACCTAGAGGGCTATAGTTCAAAGCAAAGGGCACACGTGGTGCCTAGCACTTCCTCCCTTCGACTTTGTTTAGAGGATACATTCAAGGTGAAGGGGTGTATGCTTACAGCCTAATCCCATTGAATGGGGGTATAAATTCCTCTTTAGGCATCAGTGTTCTGTCCTAAGGGTGTTCCAATTTGGGAAGCACTTTCAACACTTGGTATTTACTTTAATAGCATCCTCTTGAGAGAAGGTGCAGCCAGTGGGAACTGGAGACTCCTCCTTTTTGGTGGTCTTAGACCAGAGCGTGATGTACAGTCAGTATTGAGAAGGCTGTCAGATGAGCACACTCGGATACAATGGGAAGTTCTGAGATACTGAAAATAATTCATTCAAGAACAGGTGGATGCTAGTGGAGCAGGGCTCCTTAACTTGAACAAAACTTTTAATAAAGAAGTATGTTGAAGAGTGTGAGGAAGAATTACGCTGTTAAGAAGCTTACTAGTTCAGGGTGATGTATTAATGTGTTTACTCTGCAAATCCTCTTCTTAACATGAATTTTCTAGAATCAGTCTGGCCTGAGATAAGTTGAGAAGCAATTCAGTCACTTCCTTGTCTCTTTAAAGAGATTTTCTTTAGTCTTTGGCTTTTATGGAAGGCTCTGTGCTTTGCCTTGGAGTCACAACAAAAGGTTCATGTCTTAAATGCTGTTAAATGATATGGGTTTTGAAGAGACCTTCAAAACAACTTCATTTTCTGTTGACCAAAGCCCCTTGGTACAGGTGAATCTTGGACCCATACTGTTCATGCCAGGAGGGTTGGGTTGGTTTTGAGATACGTTGTGATGTGGAAAGGCCTACTGCCTTTTGCTGGCATACCCAAGATGTGGGAAGCATGTGTGCATGCACATAGCTTATGTAACCAACTGTAAACTAGTGGTGGTTTTATCTGCTGTGGTCACTCAGTTTATTAGGGTAGATATTGTCTCTTTCCCGGACTGTTGTGCTGCTCTCCAGGCAGTTAGAGATGCAGCCCTTCTGTGGATTTGAGACGACTTTGCCTAGACTAAGCACAGGACCACTAGTGCCAATAGAAAAAGAACTGTGGGTCAGTTCTGCCTGGTAAAACCATCTTCCTGTGCGTAGACAGGGGAAAATGTTTTTGATCTTGAGTACCCCTGTGTCCTGGTGGAAAGCACTGTGCACTCTTCAGAAACTATAGCTACAACCTAACTCACTGTTGGTGATGGCTACTGAAATTTCAGAGGGGAAGACTTGGAGGAATCCTGAGGAAGCTTAAACTGTTGAAGAGCTGTCTGACACTCAAAGGGGCTCTCCAATAGGCCAGACTCCTTAACCATACTTCCCTGATGTGAAAATAACAGTTAATTGTAACCTCACCTGGGCTGCTTTCTCCTGCAGTGTGACTGGCTCTGTGTCTCCCTATTGCTGTCAGGGAAACAGAAAAGGTTCCATCTCTCTTCCATCTGCCATAAGAAGTTTGAGGACAGAGTTTGGCTTACATAAAACTCCTGATGACAGGAAAGCTGCCTGTTAAAGAAGGAACATGTGCTATACTTGCTTTACTTGGACGTTGAGGATGAATTTCATTTAACTATTGAAAAATGCCACTAAAAACACTGTGTGCTTATCACCCAGTGTCAGTGATACAAACCTCTGTTGAAGGCTCCTGCTGATATTTAGAATAGGTCTTGTGAGGCAGAATTAGTCTTTTCTGCTAACTGCCCTATTATGCTGGAAAGTAAAGGCCAAAATTCACACATAAAAGTGTTTTGATGGTGGGCACACAAACAGGTAATTAGTAAAATTCATTGGGTAGACTACCCCAATCTAACTTTTCCTGTTGAGTCAGGTGCTTCCAGACTAGGTGAGCTACAGTCCGGGATCTCTACTGTGTGTCTGTAGCCTGCACAGGACAAGGGAGTTTGGATTCATAGGAAAGTTTTAAAGCTAATGTAAAAATTCCAGTTGATGAGTGACTGCTTGCTACTTTATTAAAAATATTTTTGTGTGTGCTGCAGAGACCAACACTTGGTAGAAGGCACTATGATCCCTTCTTCCTCCTGTTGCTGCTTCTCAGCAGTTCTAGCAAGTTAGAAGCAGTAGAAAGACCGCTGCATCCTAGAGATCTCCCAGAACAGTCTGGGTGCTGTTCTGTTAGGTCAGTTATAATGACCCCACAGTATGTGGAAAGGCTGATAATGGTGTATTCTTGTGCAAACAGGAGAGAGCTCGCTCAGCTGGATGTGCCAGGATGGTAAGGATTGGTCTGTGCCTTGTATTTGGGCATGTCACTTGCCAAAAGCCACCTGGAAAAACGTACAGTAGGTATTTTTACTTCCTGATGCTTTGATTTTCCAGAAGACGTGGATATGATCTGCTTGTGGGCTGCTAATGGCTGTCTTACCTGCACTTGGTGATTGTTCCCTTCCAGGCATGAAGAAAGAACTTGCTTACAGGTTCTAGACTGTGTAGAAGAAAAAAAGGTCCTGATGAAGTGACTCAGTTACTTAGGGAGACCTTTTTCCTTCATAAAAAACTGTATTAAGGGTAGAGGCCTGAATTTCAAATAAGAAAAATCGGGAATTAGGGTGAAGGCTAACTGTCCTTTAAGTGAGTTAGGGCTGAGGTTGGATTCTTTTGATTACAGGCTGTGTTAAGAGCCTTAATAGATAATACAGTTCAGTGATTAATTGTTTCCATTCAATTAGTATCTCCAGGCCTGCACTGTTTCAACTAATAACAGTAATACTTACTTTAAACTGGTCAGATAATGCACGGGAGTGTTGTCTGTGAGGCTTTGTAGGCTATAAATAGCACTGGACCTTCATGCAACCCGGAAGAGAGGTTCCTTTTGTTTACTTTTATTCCTGGTTCCTGTGTTCAGTTAAGTGCAATTCACTTTGTAAATATACACATCACTTGATTTTTGTGCATGGTTATGATGTATTGTGGATATAAAGATTGCCAAATCATCCTGTGTGTGTGAAGTTCTGTTCCAAACACAACTGCAGACTAAGGTGGGACTATAACGTTGGACCCTGGTACCTTGCTGGCTCCAAAGGCCTGGCACTGTGGTGGATGGCAGTGTCTGTACCCTGGTGATGCTCGTGGGTGTGAATGCTCGTGGGTGTGAAGGCCGTGCCCCTGCGGGGAGTGGCAGTCGGCTGCACCCGGGGCAGATGCTCTTGAGAGGGCTCTTCCCACCCCTTCAGGCCACTGCCTTAGTCTGTGGTTCCTGGTGCCCTCTCGAACACGGCTCGCAGAGAGGGGAGCGTGCCCCTGAGCCCTGGTGTCCTTCACGGAGGAGTCTGGTGGGGGGGTTCAGTTGTCCGCTGCTCCCACTGAGGGGGGTGTGCGGCCGGCCCAGCCCTGAGGCGCAGGGCTGCAGCACGGCAGGGAAGCCAGAGGGCGCGTAGGATCCGCC